GCGGGAGCACCGGGAGGCACAGACGCGGCTGCAGCAGGAGGCGACCCGAACATCCGTGCTCGTCCTGGCCTGGCCGCCGGCCCCTCCCGGTGCAGGGCATGATGACCAGTGCAGTGCCTGTGCCTCCACGTGCCCACAACCCCACGGCCCCTCCCCAAGTCAGACCAACGCGACCAAGTGCGTCCTGTGGCCGCTCGCGGAGATGGCTCCCACACACGTGTTCTGTCTCGGGCTCCATCCAGCAGCTTGAGCCATAAACCGCATCCAGCTGGCACCCCGCCCCACACAGGCCTCCAGCCAGCAGCCGGGCCAGGCTCCCTGCAGGCCTCGACTGGGACCCGGACCCTGCACCCCTTCCTGGAGCTTGGCCCCGCCCCTCCCCCGCCTTCTCCCAAGAGGGCCCGCCTGGTGCCCTGGGCCAGGGCAGGTCTCTGCCTTCAGTGTGCACGCTCAGCTCAGCACCACACTCAAATCCGGAGACCTCTATTTAAGGGGTCCGTGTGTAGAGAAGTGGGGAGACGTGGGGGAGAGGGCTCGTGCAGCCCAGGAGAGCGTGGCAGATAGGGCGGGGTGACCCAAAGGTGGTGTCCAGGCCGAGGGTGGCCCAGGAAGAGCTGTGTCCCTAGGGTGGGGTGACTCGAAGGTGGTGTCCAGTCCGGGCATGGCCCAGGAAGAGCTGTGTCCCTGCCGGCTGGCCACAGAGCTCTTGGCTGCAGGGTGTGGGCAGCAGTGGGCGGTGGGCTACACACAGGTCGGCCAGGAGCACCCCCCTTCCGGAGGCACCTGCAGGGAGTAGGCTGTGGGGGCCGACATCTCCTGGGCTCGCTGTGAGGCCAGGGCTGCGGGGGCTGGCGAGGCCTCCCAGCTGGGCAGGGATGGAACCTGGGTGCTGCCAGATGTGTCCAGTGACTTGGCGGACAGGACGGGGGAGGCCGCTCCAGCTCGCCTGAGCTCCTGACCGGCGGGGACAGAGACACGAGCCCCAGGCAGTGAGGCCTCAGGGGAAGACTTCATGCAGGAAGAGGAGCATTTGCCCAGGAGCGCCGAGCATGCGAAAGTTCAGTGGGAGGTATGAGCAGAACCTTCCAGGACAGTGTCCACTAAAGTCACATTCAAACGACTGTGACGTCCACCGTCAGACTGAGTCAAAGCTGGCTCAAGCGCCAGAGCTTTGAATCACCCCGGTGCTATGCGGCTGGCCTTGGCAGTGCTCGGTGCGGGCGGAGACCCACGGGGACGCGGGAGCCAGGCTGCGAGGGCGGGGCGCCCCGGGGGAGCTGGGTGTTCCGGGGAGCCCCAGGGCTGTCATGCGAGGGCAGCCCTCAGGGGCAAGAGAAGGCTGCTGACAGGTGGGTGCTCCGGTCCGCGGCTTGGCCCAGGGCCAGGAGGGTGCCAGAAAGCCAAGGGCTCTGCGGGCCACAGGCGCGTGGCGCGGCAGCCCAGCTTGAGGGCCAGGTGGCTGTCAGGAGGGCAGGGAACGCAAGACCCTATGGACGACAGCCAGCACAGGGGCCCCGGTGGGCCGGGAGACAGAGACCAGGGCCCCGGGTCCCCACCACTGAAGGGGCGGGCGGGGCTGAGCATGACGGAAATCACCAACCAGAGAGGGCTGCCCCGTCACCTGGTGTGACGTCAGGTGGGGGGGGGGAGGGCGCGCGGTAGGGCCTGCCAGAGCCCCTCTTCTCTGCACACGGGGCCTAGACAAGCTCGGGAGTTCAGTTTATGCCACCCCCATCCCGGGGTGTCCCCGAGCTCTGCCCCCATGGTACGCGTGCACCCTCTCCCGAGATCCCCTGGATGCCCACCCCTTGGGCCCTGGAGCCTCGGCCAGGGCGGGCCCTGCAGTGCGGCCGTCATGCCAGGCTGGCTGGGAAGCGTCCTCCCCAACTCCTGCCCACACTCTAGGGTCCCTGCCACCTGCACGGGGAGGACACGGAACAGGGAGAGTCCAGGCTCCCCAGAGACTCGGACACAGGGTGTGCCCTCCCGCCCCCAGCTTCCTGTGGCCCTGCTGTGGACGCAGGTAGCCGTGAGAGCCTGGGGCCACCCTGGCAGAAAGGGCAGTGAGAGCCCCACACCCCCAGGAGACATGCGGGGACCCCTGGGGCTGGGGTGCACGAACAGGAAAACAGACCGGGCTGCGTGGCCCCGGCACCCTCAGCACACGTCATCGAGACTCCGAGGACACACAGACGTGACCTGAGAGAATTCCTTTTATTACGACCGAGCAGGCGAGCAGAGCAAGCGATGCCCTGCCTTCTGCCGATGGCCGCCCAGGCCCCCCGCCCAGGCACCTCGGTCCTCAGCCCAGCTGGTCCAGGGACCCCTCCTGGGCAGCGGGGGCGGGGGGAAGGGGGATCCAGGCCCGGGGCCCCTACAGGACACCACTGGTCCCCCTTCCCGCCCATGCTGAGCCACCAACAGCCAGGATCCAGGCAAAGCTGGGAAAGCGAGGGGGGGCCGGCGCAGTCTCCACGAGAACCCACCCCCGAAACAAGCAGACAAAGTGGCCCCCGAGGGGCGCAGCCCACGCCCCCCCCAACGTGGCTTCTCTCGACAGGGCGGCGCCCCCGGGGGAGGCGGGGCACGGCCGCACAGAGGACCGCAGACGGGGGAGCCCGCAGAGGGGGACACAGCAGTGTTGT